ATTCATCAGTTAGGGAACGGTGGGAACTCTTCTGAAATCTTAAGTTTCCAGACACCAGCCAAGGGTCAACCTTGTAAGCAGGGTTTTCTAAGAAAAGCAGCCACAAAGAGAAAACAAACAAAGAAGATCAAAGAGAAAAGCTGGTTCCTTAAAAAGACTAATACAGTTGACCGCCAGTGAAACTGATCAGGAAGAGAGAAAAACCAAATAAATGAGGGTCAACTCTATATTTCTATAAACTAGCAATAAAGAAAAAATAATTACATATATTTATATACTATTTTCAAATGGCATCACAAATATAAAACATAGGAGTAAATCTAATAATTTTATAGGCAAAATGGAGAACTCAGTACAATACAGATATCAATTTTTCCCACTCTGATCTATAGATTCAAAGTAACCTCAATTAAAACCCCAAGAGAGGGCTGGGCACAGTGGCTTACACCTGTAATCCCAGTACTTTGGAAGGCCAAGGCGGGCAGATCACCCTGACTGACAACAGGTGTTCGAGACCCGCCTGACCAACATGGTGAAATGCCATATCTACTAAAAATACAAAAAACAGCCAGGCATGGCGGTGGGTGCCTGTAATCCCAGCTACTCCGGGGGCTGAGGCAGGAGAATGGCCCGAACCTGGGAGGTGGAGGTTGCAGTGCGCCAAGATTGTGCCACTCCTGCTGGGCGACAGAGCAAGACTGTCAAAAAAAAAAAAAAAAAACCAACAACAATAGAGTTTATTTTGGGGAGGAAGAGGACTTCGCAAGTGGATTCTGAAGCTTTCACAGAATTACAAAAGACCAAGAATAGCTTAGACATTCTTAAAAGTGTTAGATAAGCAGTCTTACTCGGATATCAGGCTTATTGCAAGGCTACATATTCAAGACATCACAATTTTGTAGCAGAAACAAATTGACCAAAGGAACAAGGTACATAGGCAAGAAACAGACTTGGCCTTAATGGACACTTGAGTAATGATAAAAATGGCACTATAGAGCTGTTTTTTCAGTAAACTGTGCTGGGTTAATTACATATCCATGTGAAAAAAAATGAAATAGGATCTCTAACTCACATGATCAACAAAAGTCAATTTCAGGAGGTCTGGATAATAAAATGTAAACAGTAAAATAATGAGTTCTTAAAGATGATACAGAATATCTTAGGCCAGGCATGGTGGCCCGCACCTGTAATCCCAGCACTTTGGGAGGCCGAGGCAGGCGAATTGCTTGAGTCCGAGAGTTTGACACCAGCTTGGGCAAGGCAATGAAACCCCATCTCTAGAAAAAATACAAAAATTCGCTGGGTGTGGTGGCACACGCCTGTAGTGCCTCTATTTGGGAGGCTGAGATGGAAGGACTGCTTAAGCCTGGGAGGTTGAGGCCGCAGTGACTCTGATCGTGCCACTGTAATCCAGCCTGTGTGACAGTGCGAGACCCTGTCTCAAAAAAACAAAAAACAAAAACCAGAATATCTTCATGACATCAAGGAAGAAATAGATACCTTAACCCTGACAGAACACATATTAATTATAAAGGAAAAGACACAAATTTTACTAAGTTAAAAGTTTTTTTCTTTTTTTTGAGACAGATACTTACTCTGTCACCCAGGCTGGAGTACAGTGGCACCATCTCGGCTCACTGCAACCTCTGCCTCCCGGGTTCAAGCGATTCTCCCGTTTCAGCCTCCCAAGTAGCTGGGATTATATGTGACACCACAACTGGCTGATTTTTTTTATTTTTTTATTTTTTTGAGACGGAGTTTCACTCTTGTTGCCCAGGCTGGAGTGCAATGAAGCGATCTCAGCTCACCACAACCTCCGCCCCCCAGGTTCAAGCCATTCTCCCGCCTCAGCCTCCCGAGTAGCTAGGACTACAGGCACGCACCACCACGTCCAGCTAATTTTGTATTTTTATTAGAGATGGGGTCTCTCCATGTTGGTCAGGCTGGTCTCAAACTACCGACCTCAGGTGATCTGCCTGCCTTGGCCTCCCAAAGTGCTGGGATTACAGGCATGAGTCACTGTGCCCGGTCTGATTTTTAAATTTTTAGTAGAGATAGGGTTTCGCCATGTTGGTCTGGCTGGTCTTGAACTCCTGACCTCAAATGATCCGCCTGCCTCGGCCTCCCAAAGTGCTAAGACTACAGGGGTTGAGCCACTGTGCCTGTTTTTTTTTTTTTTTTCTTTCTGTTTTGGAGAGAGTTTAACTCTGTTGCCCAGGCTGGAGTGCAGGGGTGCCATCTCAGCTCACTCTAACCCCTACCTCACAGGTTCAAGCAATTCTCCTGCCTCAGCCTCCCAAGTAGCTGGGACTACGGGCACACACCACCACACCCCGCTAATTTTTGTATTATTAGTAGAGACGGGGTTTTGCCATGTTGGTCAGTCTTGTCTCTAACTCCTGACCTCAAGTGATCCACCCTCCTCAGCCTCTCAAAATGCTGGAATTCCAGGTGTAAGCCACAGCACCCGGCCTAAAATATAAAACATCTTAATTCATCAAATGATGAAGTGAGCAGAGGGAGAAGATACTTATCACACATAAAACACACAAAAGATTCATATTCAAAAACAGAAAACCTCCTATATATTAGTACAAATACTCAATATACAACTCATTAGAAAAACAGAAATAAGACTTGAATACGAACTTCAAGAAGAGAAAATCTAGATACCCAATAAACACATAAAAAGGTACTAAGCCCCAGCACTTTGGGAGGCCGAGGTAGGCGGATCATGAGGTCAGGAGTTCAAGATGAGCCTGGCCAACATGGTGAAACCCCACCTCTACTAACAATACAAATATTAGCTGGACGTGGTGGTGCATGCCTGTAGTCCCAGCTACTTGGGAGGCTGAGGCAGGAGAATTGCTTGAACCAGGGAGGCAGAGGTTGCAGTGAGCCGAGATCATACCACTGTACTCCAGCCTGGGTGACAAGAGTGTCATCTCAAAAAATAAACAAAAAGAATAAACAGAAACCTAATAAAACTCTAACAAGTAAAAAAATTAAATGAGTAATTAAAATTTTTCCTACAAAGAGGCCAGGCTTGGTAGCTCACACTCGTAATCCCAGCATTTTGGGAGGCTGAGGCAGCAAGATTGCTTGAGCCCAGGAGTTAGAAACTGCACTGAGCTGTGATCAAGCCACTGTACTCCAGCCCATGCGACAGAGCAAGATCCCGTCTCTAAAATAAATAAATACTTTTTCCTACAAAAAAAAAAAAAGCACAGACAGTTTCAGTGATGAATTCTATCAAATATTTTAAAAGAAATAATAGGCTGAGCACTATGGCTCAACACCTGTAATCCCAGCACTTTGGGAGGCAGAGGTGGGCCAATAACCTGAGGTCAGGAGTTCGAGACCAGCTTGGCCAACATGATGGAGAATTGCTTGAACTGCAGTGAGCCAAGACTGTACCACTGCACTCCAGCCTGGGCAACAGAGCAAGACTCCATCTGAAAAATAAATAAATAAATATCATAATAATGCTCTACAAACTCTTCCAGAAAAGAGTAACACTTCTAAATTCATTGAGACCAGTATCACCATCATACCAAAGACAAAGATATTACCACAAAGAAAAAAAAGGACCAACAGACCTCATGACTATGGACATAAAAATCCCCAAAAAATAGTAGCAAACCAAATCCAACAACATATAAAAACCACTCTGATGGTTAATATAAGTGTCAACTTGACTAAATTGAGGGATGCAAAGTATTGTTTCTGAGTGTATCTGGGTGCTGCCAAAAGAGATTAACATTTGAGTCAGTGGACTAGAGAGAAAGACCCACCCACAATGTGGGTAGGTACCATCCAATGGCTGCCAGCACCACTAGGAAAAGCAGGCGGAAAGTAGGATAAGCTGACTTGCTAAGTCTTCTGGCCTGCATCTTTCTCCCATGCTGGATGTTTCCTGCCCTCAAACATCAGACTCCAAGTTCTTTGGCTGTTGGGTTCTTGGACTTACCCCAGTGGTCTACCAGGGGCTCACAAGCCTTTGGCCACAGACTGAAGGCTGCACTGTTGGCTTCCCTGCTTTTGAGGTTTTGGGACTCAGACTGAGCCACTCCTGGCTTCCTTGCTCCTCAACTTGCAGACTGCCCATCACGGCACTTCACCTTGTGATTGTGTGAGTCAATTCTCCTTAATAAACTCCCTTTCACATATACAGATATCCTACTCGTTCTGTCCCTCTAGAGGACCCTGACTAATACAACTATATGCCATATAAACACTATGACCAAGTGGGATTTATCCCAGGAATGCAAGGCTGGTTTAACATTCAAAAATCAATTTATGTAATGCATCCTATTAATAGAAAAAAGAACAAAAACCACATGATTATCTCAATAAATGTACAAAAACCATGTGACAAAATCCAGTAACATTAATGATAAAACCTATGAAAGGTCACAAGAAAATAGATGACATACTAAAAATAGGATAATTTGAAGATGCTATATTCATAAACTTGTGGGTGTAGAGGAACCACAAGGAACAGTGTAGGAACCTGAAGCTAGTAGAAGCTAAGGTGGTACTACCTCCAGGCCCAAAGAGATGAGGGGAGGGAACAATTACCAAAACCCAGAAAGGACAGTTATACAGAGTCTGCCACAATATAAGGTGCCGAGAGCTTCAGTGGAGAGATATAGCCAACTGAAGGTAAAAGTCTGAAAGCTACCATGATCAAAAGCAGAAGACACGAGAGCCAGCCAACCTTGATGATATAACTTGAAAGCTCAGGAGAGTAATACTTTTGCTCAGAATCAAATTTTATTGATTGATCTTTCCATGCGCTCAGAATGTTTTTTGACTGTAACATAATGTACAAAATGTGTATTCTCTTACAGATGAAAAACTTAAAATATCAATGATAAAAAAAACTTAACAATAGTTACTACCTCACTCATAATTTATAATTTTTTCATACACAAAATGTTTAGTTTTATATGAACGATAATTCCAGTTATATTTTTTTCTCAAGTCCCATCACTCACCTGGAATCAACCTTCTTCTCCATCCTCTGCTTAATCACTTTTTGATGGAAATTGTGGCTTGATATACACTTCACAGTGAGCAGATTCTTCTTGAATCAAAGTATTTTATCTTCCCCTTCTAACTACAAAAAAAAGGGGAATAAAAGAGAGAGAAAATTATTTGCAGCCTCTCAGGAGCCACACTTCTGAACAGCTACATGCCAGCTCCTAGTCTCCTGCCCTCCTTAATTCAACACTAGATGAATATGGGCTAGGTCTCTGACTGAAAATACTATATTTAAATTACATTTTTTTAAACATTTTTTGAGACAAAGTCTTGCTCTATCACCCAGGCTGGAGTGCAGAGGCACGATCTCTGCTCACTGCAACCGCCACCTCCTGGGCTCAAGCGATTCTCCTGCCTCAACCTCTCAAGTAGCTGGGATTACAGGCACCTGCCACCACACCCGGCTGATTTTTGCATTTTCAGTAGAGACAGGATTCCACCATGTTGGCCAGGCTGGTCTCAAAATTCCTGACCTCAAGTGATCCACCCGCCTTGGCCTCCCAAAGCGCTAAAATTACAGTGGTGAGCCACCACACCCAGCCTCACTGTGGCTTTGATTTGCATTTCTCTAACGATGAGTGATATAGAGCTTTTTTTCATGTTTGTTCATCGTATGTATGTCTTCTTTTGAAAAGTGTCTGTTAATGTCCTTTGCCCACTTCTTAATGGGGTTGTTTTTATCTCATAATGTTGTAAATGCTAGATGTTAGATCTTTGTCAGATAGATAGAGTGCAAAAATTTTCTCCCATTCTGTAGGTTGTCTGTTTACTCTGATGATAGTTTCTTTTGCTATGCAGACGTGCTTTAGTTCAATTAGAAATTAAACTAAATTTGTCAATTTTTGATTCTGTTGCAATTGCTTCTGGCATCTTCGTCATGAAATCTTTGCCTGCGCCTATGTCTTGAATGGTATTGCCTAGGTTTTCTTCTAGGGTTTGTATAGTTTTGGGTTTTAAATTTAAGTCTTTAATCCATCTTGCGTTGGTTTTTGTATATGGCATAAGGAAGGGGTCCAGTTTCTGTATGTGCATATGGCTAACCAGTTCTCCCAGCACCTATTACTAAATAGGCACTCCTTTCCCCATTGCTGGTTTTGGTCAGATCTGTCAAAGATCAGATGGTTGTAGCTGTGCGGTCTTATTTCTGGGTTCTCTATTAGGTTGCATAAGTCTATGTTTCTGTTTTTGCACCAGTACCATTCTCTTTTTGTTACTGTAACGTTGTAGTACAGCTTGAAGTTGGATAGCGTGATGCCTGCAGCTTTCTTCTTTTTGCTTAGGATTGTCCTGGCTATTCATGCTCTTTTTTTGTTCCATATGAATTTTAAAGTAGTTTTTTCTAATTCTGTGAAGAATGTCAATGGTAATTAATGGTAATAGCATTGAATCTGTAAATTGCTTTGGGCAGTATAGCCATTTTCATGATATTGATTTTTGCTATCCATGAGCATGAAATGTTTTTCCATTTGTTTGTGTCACCTCTGATTTCTTTGAGCAGCGGTTTGTAGCTCTACTTGAAGAGGTCTTTCACTTCCCTTGTTAGCTGTATTCCTAGGTATTTTATTATTTTTGTGGCAACTGTGAATAGGAATTCATTCACATTTGGTTCTCTGCTTGCCTGTTGTTGGTGTATAGGAATGTTTGCAATTTTTGCACATTGATCTGTATCCCGAAGCTTTGCTGAGGCTGGTTATCAGTTTAAGAAGCTTTTGGGCTGAGACGATGGGGTTTTCTAGATAAAGAATCATGTCATCTGCAAAATGTTATTTTCTAATTAAGGAAACTGAGAGGAGAGCGAGCCACACTCAAAAGGTGTGCCTGCTTCTTTTCTTGTGTCTAGATGCTTCAGCACCTTCAACTTCCCTTCACAGAAACACCAGTAGAGGCCAAGATTTCTTGTTTTTCTTCAGATTAATCTTTATGGTTGTCAGTGTTACCATGTAGAGTTTTCATTTTCTTTTGTTTTTTTAAAGACAGAATTTCTGGCCAGGCACAGTGGCTCACGCCTGTCATCCCAGCCCTTTGGGAGGCTGAGGCAGGCAGATCACCTGAAGTCAGGAGTTCAAGACCAGCCTGCCCAACATGGGGAAATCCCGTCTTTATTAAAAATACAAAAGTTAGCCAGGCATGGTGGTGGGCACCTGCAAACCCACCTACTCAGGAGGTTGAGGGAGGAGAATCACTTGAACCCGTGAGGCAGAGATTGCAGTGAACCGAGATTACGCCACTGCACTGCAGCTTGGGCGACGGAGCAAGACTGTCTCAGAAAAAAAAAAAAAAAAAGACAGGATTTCCCTCTGTCGCCCAGGCTGGAGCGCAGCAGTGCAATCACAGCTCACTGCAGCCTCCACCTCCTCAGGCTCAGGTGAGCCTCCCGCCTCAGCTTCCCAAAGGGTTAGGACTGCAGGCATGAGCCACCATGCCTAGCCTTTTTTCTTTCTCACGTTGTCATCCACGGTCTCATGCTATTATCCAGGCTGAAGTACTGTGGCACCATCACGGCTCACTGCAGCCTCAACCTCCCATGCTCAAGCAGTCCTCCCACCACAGTCTCCCAAGTAGCTGGGACCACAGGTATGTGCCACCATGCTCAGCTTATTTTTTATTATTTGTAGAGACAGGGCCTTGCTATATTGCCCAGGCTGGTCTCAAACTCCTGAGCTCAACTGATCTACCCACCTTAGCCTCCCAAAGTGCCTTTTTTTGTGTGTAGAGATAGGGTCTCACTCTGTCACTCAGGCTGGAGTGCAGTGGTGTGATCACAGCTGACTGTAATCTCAAACTCCTGGGCTCAAGCAATTCTCCTGTCTCAGTCTCCCATAGCTGGCACTACAGACAGGAGCCACTGCACCTTGCCTAGTTTCCATTTTTTCTTTTTCTTTTTTTTTTTTTTTTTTGAGACAGTCTCGCTCTGTTGCCCAGGCTGGAATGCAGAGGTGCAATCTAGGCTCATTGCAACCTCCACTTCCTGGGTTCAATCGATTCTCCTGCTTCAGCCTCCCATGTAGCTGGGATTACAGGCACGCACCACCACAGCGGGCTACTTTTTGTATTTTTAGTAGAGATGAGGTTTCACCAGGCTGGTCTTAAAACTCCTGACCTTAAGTGATTTGCCTGCCTCAGCCTCCCAAAGTTCTGGGATTACAGGCATGAGCCACTGCGCCTGAGCCCATTTCTCATTTTCAAATAGTGATCATTTCTATCAAAAATATTCATTAGGAACTGAATAAATTACGACATAGTTTTTTTGTTTTGCTCTGTTTTTTAGTGCCGGGAATAGTAGTGTTGTGGGTTGAATTGTGTTCCCCAAAAAAGATTTGCTGAGATCCTAACCCCTGCTACCTGTGAATGTGACCTTATTTGAAAACAGGGTCTTTGCAGAAGTAATTAAGATGTAAGTTACGATGAGGTCACGTGGGAGTAGGGTGGGCCCTTAATCCAAAATGATCTGTCTTTCTTAAAAGAGAAGACACAAGGGACAGATACCCTGGGCCTTCAGGGAGAGGATAAGACCTTGATTTCAGACTTCTAGCCTCTAAAACTGTGAAATAATCAACTTCTATTAGTTTTAAGCCACCTGGTTTGCAGTACTTTGTTATAGCAGCCCTAGGAAACTAATACAAGTAGTAAGACAGTAGAGTAAGATTTAAGTAATGGTGGAGGCAAGCTAACAGGGTGAACGTGTCCTATGTTGAGTAATTGTGATGCATTTACCAGATGTTTCATTCTACAAGAATGAAGTCACCCTTATAATCAAGGTCACATATTTCAATGACAATCAGACAAGGAATTAGCCAGTTTATCCATACAAAACGAACAATCCTTACTTACATCAAACCAATGTCCTAGATTTTCTGATACCACACTCCAAGTAACAGAGGTCATCATAAGTGACTATTTCTATAAATAAATCAAATAGAAGGATTCAAATAGTGACTTTTGGTGAAATACTGCTATAATCAATGTGTCTCTGCCTTGGGTTTCTGTCATAATGATTCTGTGGAACGTCCTTCGTGGTCAAGGACCCCCTTTTGTTATACACTCATACCAGCATTCTACCTATTTGTACATGTCTGCCTTCCCCACTAAAATATAAATTCCATGAAAACAGGAATCATATCTGATCTTCTCTTCACTGTATCTCCGGCCTCTAAAACAACGTCTGTAACCTCACAGATAAAATACACATATACTGGAAAAACTAGGACACAGGTTTGCTTTCAATTAGGACATGTATGAATATAAACTTGCTTATAAGTTGGAATATACATAATGATAATCAAATACAAAACACGGCCGAGGACGGTGGCACATGCCTATAATCCCAGAACTTTGGGAGGCTGAGGCAGGTGGATCACCCGAGGTCAGGAGTTTGTGACCAGCCTGACTAACAGGTGAAACCCCATCTCTACTTAAAAAAAAAACAAGCATGGTGGCGAATGCCTGTAATCCAAGCTACTTTGGAGGCTGCAACAAGAACGCTCGTACCTGGGAGGTGGACGTTGCAGTGAGCCAAGATTACACCACTGTACTCCAGCCTGGGCAACAAGAACGAAACTCCATCTCAAAAAAAAAAAAAAAAAAAGTCTAAGAAAAACTAAAATTATTAGGTGTTGACTCCCAGTTAAACATGTAGATTGACCTTCTAAGGTGATAGTAAAGAATACAAAGGAACAAACCATAAGGTTAAAGAGATGAGAGAAGAGATTATAGGACACCAGGGATTTCCACAGTTTTACAAGGAAAATGAAGTGGCCTAACAGGTTTGAGGAAATGAAAAACTTTGATTTGAGGATACCAAAGGAAAGCGGGCCACACAGATTTCCAATCCTGTCAGACAGGGTATTCAGGTCCCTTCTGCTGTCCTGCTTCCAACATTCTGGTAGCTAGATGGTACCTCTCAGGCAGGAGACTGGAAAAGTCTTCTCAGAAAACACTAAAAACTAACAGATCTCCAGATTCTGAAACATGTGCTTTACTCTCCATCAATGAAAAAGCAGACTTGTCCCTAGATTACCCTAAAGTGAAGCCCATGAACTCCGCAGTCCTGCTTAGACACTAGGAGCTTCCAGCTAATTTCTCAGTTACACATTTTTTTTTTTTGAGACGGAGTCTCACTTTGTTGCCCAGGCTGGAGTGCAGTGGCTCAATCACGGCTCACTGTAACCTCTGCATCCTGGGTTCAAGCGATTCTTCTGTCTCAGCCTCCTGAGTACCATCACACTTGGCTAATTTTTTGTATTTTTGGTAGAGGAGGTTTCACCACGTTGGCCAGACTGGTCTTGAACTCCTGACCTCAAGTGATCTGCCCGCCTCAGCCTCCCAAAGTGCTGTGATTACAGGCATGAACCGCTTCCCCTGGCCAGCTTACAACTTTTCTTCTGCAGCTTCCTCATCTCTCCCAGTCCTCACAGAATTGAAGAGAATTAGGGTCTTGCTCAAAATTAGGTTTTGGTTTAAGAAAACATTGTGGCTAGTTTGATCTTCTATCCAGTCTACTAAAAGTTTCTCCATATCAGCAATAAGGCTATTTAGCTTTCTTATCCCTGGTGTGTTCCCTGGAGTAGCACTTTTAATTTGCTTCAACAACTTTTTCTTTGTATTCACAACTCGGCTGTTCGGTACAAGAGGCCTAGCTTTCATGTTATTTCAGCTTTTGATGTGCCTCCTTCACTAAGCTTAGTCATTTCGAGCTTTTGATATAAAGTGAGACATGAAACCCTTCCTTTCACTTGAACACTTAGGGTTCACTGTGGGGCTATTAATTGGCCTAATTTCAATATTGTTGCCTCTCAGGCTACAAGGAGGACCGAGAGGGAGGAGAGAAACAGGGAACTGGCAGGTAGGTGGGGCAGTCAGACACAACACTTAAGTTTACTGTTTTATACCAGTGAGGTTCACGGCGGCCTAAAACAATTGCAATAATAACATCAAAGATCACTGATCACAGATCACTGTAACGGTATACCTGAAATAAAGTTTGAAATATAGCGATAGTTACCAAAGTGTCAGTGATAGGAAGTGGGCACATGCTGTTGAAAAACTAGTTGTTCCGTGCAGGACTACTTGCTACAAACTTTCAATTGGTAAAAAACACAATACCTATTAAGTTCAATAAAGCAAGGTATGGCTGTACTCAAGTCCCTAGCATCATTCATTCAACAAATATTTACAACACATCTACACAGCACTTAGGAAACCTGAACAGCCTCCCATAAAATAAAAACATGCACCCACCTCCCACGCGGGGAAGGCTTCAAGGTTTGTTTACTGCGTTACCCCCTGCGGGCTCGGTGGGGGAAGGTCGCCCATACATCAGCCCTTCCGCTCTCCTGGGCCACTTAGCCGGGAGAAGGAAACCCCTCATTTGGATCCGCGTACGCTAAGAAGCATTGCGTAGACTCGAGCACCGGCCAGGAGCGCACTAGACGCCTGGGAGGATGCGGTGGCCCCGGGGCGCAGGACAAGCAGCCGAGGAGACGCGGTGGGAGAGGATAGCGGGAGAGAATGGCAGGCTCCGGGCCCCGTCCTGCGCCCTCTTGTCGCACTTCCTCCATTCCCGCACCACAGACCCGCAGGTAGGCAACATCACCTGCACTTTTAGGGGAGGAAGCGGAGGCTCGCACAGATTTCACCGGACTCGGAGGGACCCGACTGAGCTCCCTGCCGGAGAGGCCGAGCCCATAAGAGGGTGGGGACGTTAGGATCGGGCCTCGTACCTGGGGAAGCCGAGCCATCGGGCCTGACGCTGGGAGAAAACCCGGCGGGAGAGGGCGGTCCGGGACCTGCTTCGTAACTCCCGCGCGGCCCACGCCAGCCTCAGCGCTTCGCGCGCCTCTAGACGCCAGTCTCGCGCCGGGCCCGCCCTTGTCTCCACGGCGACGCGGCGCGCACGAGGACCACCCCACCCAGACCCCCGGGCTTGCGCAGCCTCAGTCGGGCGGGTGGCGCACGACCGGTCGCTTTTGCAGCAGCAGCAATGAGAGTCGGTTCCGAGGGGCGTGGGGAATGCACCGTCTGGGCATCCCCACTGAGAGTCTTTGGCTCGCTAGCTTCTCTCTGAGCTCAGGTTGCTACTACTCCTCTTAGACGAGAGAAGTGGGAGGCATTCCGAGGCGGAACCCCGAGTTAACACCGCCCGGGGTCGAGCACTAAGGATGAGGTTCCAGCTGGGAGGTGGCTGCGAACGAAAGTCTTCCTTCCCTCACTTCCGGGCTCGTGCGTGAGCCTCTTTGGCTTTTGGTTCACGGGGAGTGGAAACCGGAACCCGTGGAGTATGACCCGCCCATGCGTGTACCCGGCAGATTGCTACAACTTGCACTTGGAGGGGAGAAGTCCCGTGGCCCCCGAATTAGAAATCCCAGGCTTATCTCTTTTTTTAACCCTTCATTTGAAAATGTAATTAATAAGCACTCCTTTTTGTTAAATTTTTTAATTTGGGCCGATCCTAATAAAAATAGGAGTGGGAGGGGTAAGTGGGACTTTTGAAATACTTTTTTACTGTGCTTTGTAAAACGTTTGAAAGCACGTGAGATTCCTGGTGCAGACACTAAAAGCAGTAGTTACTTAAATACTTGAAAGATTTTACGCTAAAAACATGAGGAAAATTAACTTGTTGGGTGTCTCCGGGTTAGAATCACAGATAATTTGTATTTTTGCCCTATTTTCTACATGCTAATTTTTGCAATTAAAACATTTATTATTTATTTATCTATTTATTTTGAGAAGGAGACACCCTCTGTCGCCCAGGCTGCAGTGCAGTGGCATGATCTGGGCTTACTTCCACCTTCACCTCCCGGGTTCAAGCGTTTCTCCTGCCTCAGCCTCCCAGGCGCACGCCACCACGCCCGGCTAATTTTTTTTTTTTTTTTTTTTTTTT